AAACGTGCCCGAGATTCCACTAACTTCGTCAAACTTAACGGAGTTTGACAATCCGATTACAACTCGAGAACTTGAATTCGCAAGCCTCTAACCTTTCCACCGAAGTCTTGATTTCACAAGACTTAGGATTTCTCTCCAAAAACTTGAATTATATCAACTTCAAGTTTTTACAATTCACACACCATTTCAAAACAAAGTGCACAGCGGAAATACTCTTCAAATTAAGAGTGGATTGCTGTAGAATACAAGAACTTATAGAGTATGGCACACTAGTACTCTCCAAAACTCAAGCAAATATTGATTTCTTGAAGAATTGCTTGGAAGTAATGTTGAAGGATCAAAAGTATGAATTGAATTGCTTGGATTGATAAAAGAATATGTTTGAATGGATATATATAATGTTCTTCAAGCAAAAGAGCCGTTGTAAGTGAGTTATGGAAGATAGGGATGGAAAACTTCCTTAAAAACTGACAAAACCGGAGTTCAAACTGACGACTTATTCGAATAAAATCAGATTTATCCGAATAAGTCAGAGCGAAGAACGCAGACTTATTCGAATAAATTAAGATTTATTCGACTAAATCACTGTAGGATTGAAGAAATGAAATTCAGGACTTATTCGAATAAACTGCTAATTATCCGAAAAAGACAGAACTGAGAACTCTGACTTATTCGAGTAAAACAAGAGTTATCCGAATAGTTTTCACAGTTTTTGAAAAAATTGTTTTGCAATTGACTCAAAAACAATTTGAAGAGTTTTTGGAAAACATTTTCAAGGAGGGAAGAACAACTAACATGCCATACACTTTAACAAAAATGCTAAGATCTGAAACAAAACCCAACTAAGGAAACAACCTCTTCGGTCTCGTTCCTTCCACCGATGCTCAAGTCCCTTCTTCACGGATGGATATGAACTTGTTGTAGCTTTGATTCTTAGCCTTGATGCACAAAATGATGATGATGTTTTTTCACCCTTTTGTCATTATCAAAACCTAAAAGACAATGGGCAAAGGACATTGCAAAAATACATATTCATGATAGCACATTGTCCAACACTCCTTCTAAGCCAACTAAAAACACACCTTCTCCCAGACACACACCTACTCAAAGCTCCTTTATCTCCCAAAAACCATGCTCCCTCAAAAACTTTCTTTCTCCCAAAAATCACTCCCCTCCCCAAAGTTCATCACTTCCCAAACCTTCACCCACACCCAACCCCATAACCTTTCCCAACCCCTTTGCTTTGATTCATATGGCTATGGAGGAGAAGCCTCTTGATGAGATTCCTCCCCTAGGTACCTTGGACGAGAAAGAGGAAGAAGAAGAGGAGGAGCTCACCACTCCATCCACTTCTTCCTACATGGGTTGCACTTTGAATGACTCGGCGGACACCATCCTGTCCAATTCTTGCTTTGACCAGGAGTACGTGGAGTTCCTTGAAGAGTATGCATCTATGTCCGGGCGCTCACTTTCGATTGAGGAGCTCAAGGCCTACTCAGATTTTCAAAACTTGGCAAATTACATTATACGGGCACAAAGACACTTCGGCATACCACTAGATGTCTTGCTGCTGTGATGTGTGCTCAGTTCTGCCAGTAGATGGGGCAACAATGTTGGATATGTTTATGTTTGTCTTCCTTTTGCTTAGAAGAGTACATCCTCCACTGGAGAGCCATGGAATTGTTTTGGCTATCTTCTTTCTGTTTGCTTTGCCTTCTGTTTGGCTTGTTCTTTGAACTCTTTACTTTTGCTTTTAATAAAACGTAAGGATTGAAAAAAAGGTGTTGAGGAATGGATTGTAGCAACCATGTAGCCACAAAATTATCAGACCTCTAGCACGTTCACACAAACAAATTAAGCTCGGAGTGTCCAGTAAATTATATGCTAGTAAATTGTACATAAAATATTCTATGATACTCCGTATAAAATATGTGTATGAAAATAATAACTAAACTAATATTCCCATCTTTTCTCTCTTGCAAATTTTAGCCAAACATGAGTAATATGTATCAAAAGATGGTGGTCTAAGTAGAGATAGAGATAAAGATAGAGGGCGGCATTTACATGATTTATTCATCAAATTTATGGTGTTATTTTACAGGGATGCTGAATGGAAAAGGGCATTCGATTTTAGTGACACAGAGTTTTTGTCCAATTGCATCAAGCGAACAAAAGGTATGACAAATGACAATGTTAGCATACTAGGTGACTAGGTCATGCACATACAGAGTATTCGTCAAGTGTTGCCACACTACTATGGAGTGTTTGGCAAATTCTTTGTTAAAATAGATCTTAAAAAATTGCCTTGATCAAAGTAGAGACTAAAATGAGCTGGTCTTGAGTCGGCTTGGATCGACTTATACACTTATTATTACTTTAAAAAATTTAATTCAAACTCGGACCCTAGCCGTTAAACAACAAAAATTAAACAACAAAATACAAAAGAACAAATTATACTCTGTAAAAGTGAAATTAAAGAGATATACCTTGGATAGAAATGAGTTAGAATAATTCACTAGGCGTTATAATATATTCTTTCACACACACATCATGTAGTCAAAATTTTTAAAAAATTGACCAAGAGTAGTCAAACATGAAAACAAATAATGAAGGGTCCGGGTAACATTTTGTTTTTTATTTTTGCATTTTTGAGTACCTTGATTTTGCTATAAAAAATCTGAGTTACACAGGGTAAGGTAGTTGTTAAAATTTTGAATTTTTTGAGTACCCTGATTTATTTTATTTATTATATGTATATATTTAAGAGTTACTTTAAAATTCAAAATAAAATAGACTTATAGCTTTAATACATACATTTTGATATTTTAATATTTTTTATGCAAAACAGAAGTGCTTTTATGAACTTAAGTATTCTAAAAATAAATCTCATAACTTGTTGGGTCAACCCGAATGTGATGACACTGGTCATGAACTTGCAGTTCTCAACCCGAAACCGAAATAACCAAACCCGAACGTGACTTGACGGATCGGTTTGCCATATATCATATTGAGCTATCTTAATTTTGCTCCAAAGTGTGTCCTAAATCCTAATATACTCTATGAAATTCCGTAAATTAGCTAAGGAAATCTGCCACATGCTTGAGCCTCAAGTCCCTATATCATACATATGGATGTATGGTGTTTTCCGTACATCTGTGCGAATATTAATTTTGGAGTAATAGAAAACTCATTTTGCATGTTTGTTTATTTTAAAATATATTCAAAACATGTACACCACAAGATATATGCATGTTCATTTGAAAACTACATAATGCTCATTATGTTTATGCATAATGTGCATTTATGTTAGAAGTTAGATGTCCAGCTGTCATTTTGTTATTTGTCCAGTTGTCCAGCTATTTTTTTCTCCTTTTCTGTTTTTTTTCATCTTCCGTTAGTTGGTTAGCATATTTGCCAAAAGGCCCCTCTCTCTTTCTGTAATAAGTAGAACAAGAACAAAGCTGCGAATAAGATTTCCTTCTTCGTTTTTCCACTGTGCGCAATTCCAACATGGTATCAGAGCAATCCGATTCTAGATCTGATCGTTGATCGCCTTCATTCATCACGGATACAGAGATTTTCATATCTGATCGTCGACACTCCTCGTTGATTGCTATCACCAATCTATTTTCTGGTATGTCGTCTCCCACACCTAATACGACTTCTAGAACCCTAGATGTTGCGGATCCCCTCTATTTCCACCCTTCAGATCATCCTGGTTTGCTTCCTATCTCTAAACAATTTGATGGCGAAGGATTTGCATCCTGGAAGAAATCTATGTCCATAGCTTTGTCTGCCAAAAATAAATTGGATTTTGTCACAGGCAAAATTCATAAACCTGTTGATGATCTGGTTCGATTGAGTCACTGGCAGAGATGCAATGATATGGTTACATCTTGGATTCTTAATGTTCTTAGCAAGGATATTGCAGATAGTGTCCTTTATGCGAATTCTGTCATTGAATTGTGGAAGGATTTGGATGAGCGTTTTGGTCAGTCTAATGGCACCATGTTATATCAGCTGCAAACAGAGATTAGTTCTCTAAAACAAAGCAACATGGATATTGCAAGCTACTATACCAAGCTCAAGAAGAAGTGGGATGAGCTTAACGCTATTTTGCAATTGCCAAACTGCACATGTGGAGCTGTTCAAGCTTTGAGGAAGTCTGATGAAGATCAGAAACTAATTCAGTTCCTAATGGGCCTAAACTCAGATTATACCATAATACGTGGTAACTTACTGATAATGAGACCTCTTCCTACAGTTGCTCAAGCATATCAAGTGCTGATTCAAGAGGAAAAGCAACGAGGAATTCAAGTTCCCTCTCAGATTCTACCTGAACATGTTTCCTTGAATACCACCAAGACTGCCACAGGTGGTTATAAAGGCAAAACAGACACTAAAAGGGCTTTGGTCTGTGATCATTGCAAGAAACCTGGACATGTAGCCAGCAGATGCTTCAAGCTAATAGGATTTCCTAAGGATTTTAAATTCACCAAGGGGAAGAATGCTTCAGCACATTCTGTCAATGTGGAAGATTCTTTCAAATCTGCTGATGAACCAGAAAAACAACTCAATTCAGATTTCTGTCATCAATTCATGAAGTTACTAGCTACTGTCCAGTCCAATGTGAATAACCAGAGTTCCTTAATAAATTCTGCCTGTTCAGGTATTTCTTTTCCTTCTTTTAGTTGTGTTCCTATGCATTTGAGTAATCATGTGCTTTACAATACTGATTGTGTGGATTTTAGACTCTGGAGCAACAGATCATATGTGTGCTCACTCACATCTGTTCACCACCCTTTCTGATTTACCCTTTCCCCACACTGTCACCTTACCAAACAAGCAACAACTTTCCATTACTCAGTTTGGTACAGTTACACTCTTTCCCAATGTCACTTTACAAGATGTTCTATATGTTCCTCATTTTCAATACAATCTGCTGTC